GAGAGAGAGAGAGAGAGAGAGAGAGAGAGAGAGAGAGAGAGAGAGAGAGAGAGAGAGAGAGAGAGAGAGAGAGAGAGAGAGAGAGAGAGAGAAAAAATGGCGGTGCACCATGCTCTTGTGCTGTCCAACCTAAAATGGCTGACATCACAAGCTGTTAACCAGCCAACCAGAGCCAGAAGCTGCTGCTGCTGCTGGATGACCCACACATGGATCGCTGTGAGGCTGTTTAAAGAATGAATAAAAAGGAGCTCTTGAGTTTGCAGCTGAGTAATATTGTGATTACACGGGAGTCAATGCAAGAGAGGAGACGCAAACCCAAAGACCGACGAAGAACCGCTCGGGGTCCATTAAGTCGTCGTTAGAAATCAGATGTGAAGAACGCAGGAAGTGTTTAACCGACTGACCAAGCTGTGAGATAACAAACCTAAAAAAAGTGAGGGTGAGAAAGGAGGGGGGGGGACTATTAACAAGTCCGATGACATCCTACCTGGAATATTAGGAACGTGTGAATACAGACAATTAACTTGATTCCTATCACCGGTGTGATGACGGGTCTGCTGTGACGGATCAGAGACGCACCGACTGGGAATGGAACCGGTGGATTAAGTTGTTTGTCTCTGTTGGGACTCACGTGGACCTCAGGCACAAACTAGCTGTCTGGCTGGGAAAGCTCTGCTCTAATCCCACACACACACACACACACACACACACACACTAACACACACGCACACACATGACAACACTGACATGATGAATAACTGAGACAACAGCTCGCAGACTGGACTAAAACATGGACTTATTGTGTTTGTTTAGTTTATGTTTAAGGGTCCAGACTTGACTTTAAACCAAAGTCTGTGAGGACAACAATAAAAAAATAATAAATATATGCGTAATAACAAGCTGTGTTTCATTGCACTGGTCTAAATAGAGCAGCTCTGACAAACAGTCACAACTGATGGGAGGTTCTAACTTCTTCATGCAGAACATCCTGCAGGTCTGACTGTAACACACAAAGACTCAACATTCTCATTGCTGCGAATATATAAACCATTGTTTATTAATAATAACACGTGAGCGAATAGCGGTATTTTAGTGAAACACACACACACACACACACGGACCGTAACGTCGCTCTCAGAGCGCAGCGGCGTCAAACATTTCCGAAAATGATGCGTGTTCATCTTCCGCTCAAGTTAGGCGGAGTGTCCAACTTAATGGGCTCGTGTGCGCGTTATCGGGGTTTTTGGAAACATTGTAGCTAATTCAGAGCGGAGGATCAGACGAGCCCCCCAGACCTCCACATATATAAATATATATAAAAACACCCCCCCCCCCCCTCCTCTACCCGCTGGCTGTCGCCATTTTAAGCAAAGCGACATGCAGCTGAGCCAACGCGCAGCAAAACAAGGTATAAACAGGCTTCACTGTAGCTCGCGCAAGTTTGTGAACCCCTCGTGTAAAGGTGCAACGTTAAATCACACTCACCTGTGCGCGTGTCGGTGGACGCGGCGCCGCGTGGGTACATAGAGTTTACAATGATTCGGGGCTTCAGAGGAGGTGTTTCTTTTGGGGGGCTTCACTGATGAGAACTTGTAGGTGTAAAAAAAAATAGCCCCCCCCCCCCCTGTGTCCGGCTGCTGGTGGACGTGACACGGGGGCCACGCCGGTTCCCCCCCCCCCCCCCCCCCCCCCCGTATTTCTTTTTTTTTTTTTTTTTTTGTGTGCGATTGTTTATTTGGAGTGTCTCCCAGTGTAGAAGCAGGCAGTGGAGGGGAGGAGACGACACCACGGACGTACCGGGGAAGAGACGGACACGTGACGCACACGTCACCGACGGTGGAGTTTGACGGTGAAGAGAGAAGCTCGAGCTGTGAGTCACAGACATCCCGGTGTGAGTTTGACCCAACGGTACATGAGGGAGGAGGAACCGTCCCGGTCCTGGTTGAACGGGATGTTACCGCTACACTCACACCTGTCCCTCTCCCAGGTGACCTCTCTCTTAAAGAGACAGTACATCACTAACAGAGAGGACTGCGTCCCAAAATCAAAACAAAGTACCTTCTGTTGCATGCAGGTGTTTTTAGTAATATATATATCTATATATATATCTATATATATATATATATAGATAAATATAAATGCATACATAAAGTAAAAAAATACTAAAATACGTAATAATATATGTAATAATATCGGTAACATATAAATAATTAAATTATATGTCTTGTTTATTTATATATATATATATAAATAAACAAGACAGCTCATACCAGGGGTGCGTGTATAAAGTAAAAAATACAAATATATATAACAATGGTAATTAATTAATAATATATATTACATATATGTAAATAAATAATAAATATATTTCTCTATATGTACATATATATATATATATATAAAGTTAGTAAATATGAATAATGATTGAATGATAAAAATTATCAATATAAAGAAAATGTATTTTAATTGTCTTCTTATTCTCTTCTTGTGAATGTGGAATTTTTCCCAAAAACACAATCAACTGTACAAAAAACAAATTGGTTGATTTATTATTTTACTTTAAATACTGCAGCTGCACTAACAAAGCCTGGCCGTTGCATGCAGTATTTGTTATATTTAAGAAAACATAGATACATTATACAAAACTGCTCACAGGGTTACATGTATAGTGTTGAATTGGTTGCTCTGTTGGTTAACAGGATTTTACAGGCACGTTTATTTTGCTCATACATACAGTAAATAATAAATGTTTATTATATTGTTACTTCACCTAATAGTGCAAGTATACTGTTATTTTGTGAAATATGCTGAAGTAAATGTTCAATAAAGTACCGAACAAACGAGCAGTAACAAAGTTACAGCCTAAAATCCCACCAAAGGCAGTGATAATAATGGATCTTGCTTTTGTAACTCATGATGTGATTCTCAAATCATTAATTTCAAAACCACACAAAAGATATAATTGATACAGATGGATCAGTAAGATAAACACGATATAGTTACTTCCTCTCTTTGATAAACTATTCATTGGTACAGATTTTCATTTCTGGTCTGACTTGTTCTCTCTTATAGATGCATTGTTACCTTGGATACTGTAATAGTATTAAATATGAAACCCTAATGACGCCATATAAATACACAAATCTGAACGCCTTAAAAGTAAAATGACAAGGTTGTTTTGTCAGACGTAGTAACAACAATTTAAAGCTGAAATTATGTTTCTCATGTAACATGCAAGAGGCATATATGTTACACTTTTCCAAAAGAAGAGCACAATATTTCATAAAAACAATCTACTTAAATGAAAGTAGCATCTTAGAATGAAGTGAAGACCTTTTAAAGGATACGTGTTGTTACAGTAGAAAGACCACGTGTGGTTCATGTTAATACCACAGCAGATAAAGCTCTCCAGAGTCACTTCAGCTGTAAACCTACTGGCCTTCTGAGTATCACAATCACGTGAGACTGTTATTGATTTTCACAAAAAGCTGTTTATTGTGCATGCTATTAGACTAGCATTCCCCCCCCCACCACACACACATCCTCCTGATTGACTCATTCAAGATGTTTAGTGGGTCATTTTTAAGACTGAAATACACTCAATGTATCTCATATCCAGGAGGTTAAGAATACTCATAAGATTCCAGCATATTACACCTGATATCACGACAGAATATGTGAAGTAATGTCCTGAGAAATGTATTAAAACATCATCACGCTGACATTTTATTCTGTTCACAATGTACAGAATATTTGATTCCATTTAAAGTTACTATGGAACTTTTATTTAGTGTTGATTCTGTTGGTCCCTGTGGACTAAAGTGGTAGTGTCTCTGAGCACCAGAATCCCTTTAGAAAACCTCTCATTTTACTGCAGCAGGGTCTGACAGTCTGCCCCTCGCAGTCCTGGTTCTGGTTCTCCCGTGACTCCCTTCCCTCCAGCGGGTCCAGCAATATGTCCTGGGCAGTGGCGGCTGGTGGAAAATGTTCTAGGTAGGGCTGTGCCACATCCAATCAATTTCAGCAAACATCCCAGAATGATTTAATGCAAAAAAAATTAAGGTATCAAACACGTATTACTACTTTGCAGTTAAATATTTAACCTTTATTCCAACATGAAAAAAAAGCAGAAAATAACACTTTGATAAACACGTCAGGACATCTTATTTTAGTCTCAGTATAATATAATAATATATATATGTCATATAATAATATTCTGTATAATATAATAATGTATATCATATAATAATATATATCATATCATTGGTCCAACTGGTTTTAGGTCTGGCTCTATGTTAGAACCACATAGAGAGCCATTATTGGTAAAATCACTCCATTTACAGCAGGTTATTAAGTTATATATCACAGTGAGGTCTTGTGGTTATCTGACATCAGAGAGGAGGTAGAATAGTTTCACTCTCTGGACTGAAGAGGGAACCGCAGACAGAAACGTGAGTTCATCCATTAAGGGTCAGGAATAACAATGGTCAATGTCTTTAACATAAATTACTTTAATCCAGAAAAAAAACATGTAAAAGTCTGCTGATAATAAAAAAAAAAAAAAATGAATATATTTCCTTACTTTTGTCTTCCTTTTTTATTTTAATAAATATTACTTATCTCTTTAGTTGTTTTCTCCTGTGGTTGATGATCACTTCATTGACCCGAATGTGAATTGCATTGAGTTGTAGCCAATAGACTTTAAACATGTTGCTTATTGTCATCTCTTTGAGAGATGTTTATAATGTAGAGCTGCAACAATTAGTCGATTAATCAATTCATTTACAGAAAATTGATCCGCATCAGCAGTCATTGTTTTAAACACAAATGTGAACGTTCTTCGGTCTCAGCTTTCTGGTTTTCTTTGTCTTCTTTGATTATAAACGAAACCTCTCTGGGTTTGAACTGTTGTTTTGAAGAAAGAAAAACATGTTACAGACCAAAATAAAACTTGAATAATCAAGAAAATATCAGGGAAATAATCAATAGTTTGCAGCCCTGAAATAATGTGGAAATGCTTTTATGACTGTATTGAATTCTACTAATTATCTTTGCTATAACAAGGAAATAATGTTCTTTATTTTGATGAGTTGTTTATGTTATAATGTTATATATCTGCTTTTTACCATGTAAAGTGCCTTTAAGTACCTTTTAAAGCATTATACAAATAAAATGTATTATTTTTATTATGATATAATGTGAAAACTATTAGCTTTCAGTTTTTATTTGCATACTGAAAAAAAACTACTTATAAACTTCATAAAACTTTGGAATAACGGGTTGAAATTAACAGCAGTTACACATCTTGACCGCTGGGTGTCGCTGCAGAATTTAACCACTTCCCCTGCACGATCCGGGCAGAAACGTCGCACTCTCTCATTGGCTGTTGGCATCCGGGGTCAAACAGCGTTGCGCATGCTCAGATGGCCCTTTTTTTTCCTCCTGTTTCCGAGACTGAAATCTGTCAGATCAGCGGAGCGTGCAAATCCCTTTGAATACCTCCTAATATCGCTCAGAGTTTTCTTCCCGTAGTCCACGCGAGAGACTCACATCTCAGCCGCGTGCAGCCGGAGGAACCAGCAGAGAATGACGAGCAACCTGAAGCGGAAAGAAGACAGTCAGCAGCTGAATGGAGGCGTGAAGCAGCCCACATGGAGCAAAACCTTCAACAGCACCGCGGTCTGGGAGGAGAAGGTCAGCCGGTTACCCTTTTTGGTTTTATTTATTCTAAAGAAAACCCGTTTCCCGGTAGTTAAAGTGTCGCCGCTAGGGTTAGTATTTCTTTAAATTTATTATATATTTTATTATTTCTTTAGTAGTTAGGATTAATGTGACTCGGCTGTCAAATCAGAAGCAACACCGTTAATCCTCTCTGCGGGTTTTAGGGCTTTAATCATAAAGAATATAACCTGTAAGTCGACATGTTGGGTTAACTAAACAATGTTGGTTATTTATGACTTCCTACTTATTTCAATTGAAGAAATTAAGTTCATTAAACTCATTTGAAAAGGTTGTATTTCATACTAATATAGTTTGCTTTCTTTTAATTATTTATTAATTGTGAATCAATTAATTTGCTAACTGTTAAAGTGGCAACATCGAATATGTTTTATTTAAATGTCTGTTTATTACTTTATATTTGGTGAAGGTAACACAAATATCTTGTAAACAACAGTGCTTACAAGATGCGTAGTAATAGTGTTTGATGTCAATTCAAACCAGATTTCCTTTGTAGTTTAGAGGATATGATTTATATTTTGTTTCATATTCTCTTTATTATCGACCCAAGGTGTTCCTCGTCGCAGTGTTTTGGTATATTTTTGTAAAACGTAAACCATGAAACACCAAAGAGTAGTTTTACATTTAGTACTGCATTGTTATTTGCAAGTGTCATCATTTAAAGTGTTGATTGTAAAATAAATATTATTTCTGATTTAAAGTTTTGCAATATTTATATATTTTAAGTATTACGAACTGGGTGTCTGTGGTCAATAAAAAATCTATATTTTAGTTTTTCTCTATTTTAAACGCTCAAAATTATTAATTATGCACAGAATTAAAAAACACATCATGTTAGTGATAAACTCTGAGCACAAACCCTTTTGTTTTCACCCAAATATAAATTCTGAATCAACCAGGACTGAGATGTTAAGATGTGCCACAAGATTAAAGTATGCTTCCAGTTCAGCAGTCTGGAGCCTCACTTCAGCTAAATATCCTGACAGCTTGTCCTATTTTAACTTAAGTTTTAGTTATTGGAAAAAACATATCTTCTTATTACAGACACAATTCCTAAAGTCATATCTTAATTTAAGAAATCCTCCGCTGGAGGAGAGGAAAGCACACATTTTTAAAATATATAAAATGTGTTGACAGTCGATATCTATCCATTAATACACGGTCCGGGGAATTTACAGTACCATAAGTTTTGAGTTTCCTTTAAATCGTCACATCTCAGTGACCATGTTGTTCCTCGTCTTCATATTCTGAATTCAGTACTGTTGTGTACTAGCTAGATAAGACTCCTAAATGCAGTTAGGCCACATGTTTCTGTACCAAAACAAACTCCTAAATGTCATCCTAAACTGAGATAATAGAACATTTCAGACGGAGGAAGTTTCAGTAATGAGGGCACCTGAAGTGTTTATGTTGATGCATGTCCGTTTATGTTTTCAGAATTATGTGCGGAGTTTTCGTGTGTATACAAAGAAGAAAAACTCCCCACAGTGGTGTAACAAATATATAAATATTGCGCTGATAGATATTGATTAACAGACAAATGAAAACCTTCAAGATGGCCACTTCTAAGTCTGGAAATGGCGAAAAATCCTCAAGTTGAGCGACTGGAACTAGAGTTTGCTCGACATTTCTACGAGAAACACAATGCTGAAACGATTAATCGAATATCTAAATAGTTTTCAGTTCATCTTCAGTTGATCTTTAAACTGATTAATAGTCACCCATGCATGTCTGTTTCCCCTCACCCTAACCTGACTCCTGACCTAAGTCGACCTAAAGGAAGCCCCGACACACCGCAGAGGTTCAGCACCACAGAAACCTCTCTAAGGAGAAACCGACTTCTCCTCTCTCTCTCACACACACACACACACACACACACACACACACACACACACACACACAGTCTACTAACACTCAAACTATTTTGTGGATTTACAGATCTTTAAAACTGAGTTCCTCCACAAAAAAACACTTATTACCCTCTTGTGTCTACCAGAGTTGTGCTCATAAGGTTCTTATATGAATAAGTCATTCAGCATCAAAAAGCATAAACAAAAGACAAATTATCGACAGAAATTAGACCCAAACGACAGATTAGTTGAGCAGCCTTATAAACCCCAGAGAGAGAACATTTAAGGGGACTCTGGTGCTTTATGTATTGTGTGTTGTTCTTCTGAAGTCACTTTTGGCATTTAAAACGATTACTTCTTTCTGTTAAATCGAGCTCATGTATTGTTCTTTCACAGGACGAGTTCTTAGATGTGATTTACTGGCTTCGGCAGATCATCGCGGTGATCCTCGGTGTGATTTGGGGCGTCGCACCGCTGAAAGGATTCCTGGCAATCGCCATGTGAGTATCCTGCACAGTCTCATCTACCGACCCCGGTGGTCTCTTCTTAACACGGAGACGGTTTAACCGACCCCGGTGGTCTCTTCTTAACACGGAGGAGGTTTAACCGACCCCGGTGGTCTCTTCTTAACACGGAGGAGGTTTAACGTTTGTTTTCCTCGTCTAGATTCTGCATCATCAACGCCGGCGTCCTGTATGTTTACTTCAGCAGCTTTCAGCAGATCGATGAGGAAGAGTACGGTGGAACGTGGGAACTCACCAAAGAAGGCTTCATGACATCTTTCGCTCTCTTTCTGGTGAGGATGTTATTATCTACGGGAATATAAAATATGGTGAATTCAGCGTTTTTGGCAATAGAGGTTCAAAATATGACCAATTTGTTTCTCTGTGTGGTTTATTTATATATCATATAAATGTTTTCTTCTTGACCAGGATGTTGATGGTTTCAGCTTGAGTTAAATAAAAGAGAGAGACGTGCTAACAACGTATATCTTTAGTTAAATACATGTTGTTATTGTTGTTTTTTTTTTTTTTTTTAAATATGCAGAAATCTACAGACGTAAACAGACAAAGAAATAAAATAAACGTTTTATTTCCTCTAGTCTGAAAGAAGACGTCTTATGGAAGCAAAATAGCCCAACATCTCAAACTGAGCAGAACATTAATACATTTGTTTTGTCTGTAGTGTCTCATCTTAAGACCAGGTTCTTGTGTTTGGTGTTAACTTGTTTTATTTCCTTTAGCCTGTTGTTAGTCAGCTTGTATTGAGTTCTCTGTGCTCTGAAGTGGAGCATTGACTCTGACCGTCGGTGTCTTCTCCTCACCAGGTGGTGTGGATCATCTTTTACACAGCGCTACATTTCGACTGAGACGAACCCAAGCGGGACACTAAATACGAACATTTCAGTCGAAGCGAATCGTCGAATGACGGAGGAACTCCACGGCTCGAGGCGCGTCAACGCTCCCAACATACAGTATGACTTTTCAGTGTGCAGTGCATCATGGGAATCCTAGATCGATTTAACGAGATCCTGCAAGACCACCGTGACGTCCGAGATCTAGTGCAGTGGCTCATTTTCTAAGGCCCTCTTCATTACACTTACATTTATTTACATTAATATGTCCATCATCATCATCGTCCATCTCTTTGACAAAACACTAACGAGTAGTTTCGGCTGCAGCTCTGTGTGCGATGGAACAAATGAGTATTAGTCGTTTGACTACGGGCCCTTTCTGCTGCTTTAGAGGACATGAATGCAGATTTTAGACCGTAAAGATAACAACCAGTGTGTGTTTTCATCCCAGCTGATGACGGCGTGTCCTCGTGTCGTTATTAGGGTTCAATCAGTCTGTGAGTGGGAAGTGTTGCCTTTTTAATTAAGCGACAAAAACGCAGCTTTTTGGATGAATAAAACTACCTGTAAAGGATTGTTCCTGTGGCTTCACTGTTAAAGGAAAAAAGAAAAGTCTGAAATTTCACTCAAATGTCTTTTAAAGGAAATAATCTGATGAATTAGTAAAGTTAGACGTGCATGCCGTGTTCAGACTCGGAGCGACGAGCCGCTCTGTGCATCCAGGTGTCATTCTATCGATGGCATCAGTGAGCAGCATAGAAATAATTTAATAAATGTGTTTTATTCTCACGTGTAGCTTCCAGATCAGTCTTACTTGTTTTTGAAATTAATTTAAAACTTTTGTCTTGTAAATTCTGTACAATGTCCCCTTTTTGTCCCGTCCACCTTGTATTACAGATTTATTTGTACTTCTGTTGTATATCTCGTTTGATGATGACGCGTGTCTCAGTATTTTATAGTGAAGAACTTTTAAAAGCGCTTCTTGCAGAGTTCTTGTAATCGACTGTTCTGTTAGAAAGGATTGTATTTTCTGATCAAATCTTTTGGGAATCATTAAACATGGGCTTCATTTGGCCTCCATTTTCAAAGAGGTTGTGTCTTTTTCTTTATAATTTAAATATAGATATTTTGTGTTACTTTTTAGTTCATTGGAATACATTGATTGTACTATTAGCTTTAATGCTATACCTCCATAATATACAAACACAATTCTGCCAGAAAACAGACGTAGAAGTGATAAAATCTAAATACTCGCAGTATGGCAAAATGATACCACACAATAGTAAAGTCGATGAAGTAGTGATATCTTTTACTTTACAGTAGAGCTGACGATGAAAATAAAACAAGTTCAAGTGGTTCATTTGTCAAGTAGAAAAACATTCGCAGTAAAAAGTACTCATTGGTCAACATTATTACTGAAGTATTATTGTGTAAACAGCATTTTAACTACTTCATTCACTGACTGTATTCGTGTTTAAACCTGGTCTTCAAAGTAACTTTAACTGTCAGATAAACATAGTAGCGTGTAATGGAAGTAAAGTACAAGTACCTCTAAATTATACTACATTTTAAACCTTCACTCACGTGGTCAATAGTCTGAATTTTGACTTAGTAACTCATAACATTGATTTACTTCTCATTTGTATTTCCGCCGCTGTGATGAAAGAACTCCTGTAACTCAAAATACATATTGTCTTTACTTGCTTAATATTTTACAACTATCTCCTTCAGTTGAGGTGCTGAGTCATTATTTTAATGAGCTAACTTATTATTTAGAAATACTAAGTCATGTCATATTTTAGATACTTAATCACTATTTTGTGATACTAAGTCCTGAGATAATATGTCATTACGTAATTTTGAAATATTGAATTATTATTGAGATAGTAAGTGATCATGAGATGTTAACTTATTGTCATATGTATATTTTCTCATTATGACTTATAGTATATTGTTTACACCATAGTGGCATAGGGGCTTCCATAGTAAAGCTCTACTTTTATTCTCTTTCATATATTTTTGAACATTTTTGTTTTTAATATTTTGCTGCAGCAGAGTTTTTGTTATTTTTCACACATGAATCAGTTCATTACATACATATTCAGTATATTTACAAATATATTATTATTAATACTTAGTATTATTACTGTTTTTAGACTTTTAGCTGACTACGCATTTGGCATCATTCATAAAAATATATGTAGATGATGACGTCAACGCGGAAGAACAAAAAAAGGAAAAAAAATGTGACGCCGTAAAGCCATATAAAAAAGGAAAAAAAAGTGACGTAAATCCAAGATGGCTTCTCCCCTGTCCACGATGAAATTTTGGAAGCCGGGTAAGTACGGTTAAAACAAGAATAAATGAGACATTTAATGCGATTTATTTCTGGTTTATGTTCAGTAACGTTCAGCTGCGCGTGGACTTCCGTTGGTCTCGGTCCGGTGTTAGTTGCGTTCAGGGCAGCTGCGTGATCTCCGCATCCCGCGGAACGTTAACGTTCAGCGCTGCGGAACCAAAAAAAGTATAACCTGCCAAAATAAAAATAAAAACGCACAAAAAAAGTACGACGGCTGCGTGAATACATGCGATGTAAAATGTTTTCATGAAGAGGGGTTTTCATCGGCTTCAATTTATTTTCATTTGCACTAAAAACCCCTCAGGAATCCTCTCAGCCTGCTCACGTTTAAATAAAACATCTCCACAATCTGTTCTTCTGCTCCAGGGTCGGAGGCTCCGGGGATCTCAGAGGAGCGGGATCTGAACACGGAGACCACCGGATCACCGGTCATCTTCAACCCGCACACAGCGCTCTCCATAGAGAAGCAACGGCAGAAACTCCCCGTTTTCAAGGTTCCACAATCGCCCCTGAACGTCACATTTAGTGTGTTGAACGCTGTTTGTTTAATTATGACCTTTTTATTTGTGTTTGTGTTGTTTTACACAAAAAATCGGTGCAATATAAACACACTGTGCAATACAAAAAATATCGTCTATATCTATAATATTTTAGTTATTGTGGATTTTGTACTTAGTTAATATTCTTTACTGTTTTATTACTTATTTACTTCTTTATGATACTTGTTTTGATCTTGTTTTTTTGTTCTTGTTTGCACTATCTACTATGCTGCTGTAATCCTGTAAATGTCCCCACTGCGGGACTAATAAAGGATTATCTTATCTTATCTTATATTATCTTATCTTGTTGTTATTTGTGTCCCATTCAGCACAGAAACAACATCTTATACTTGGTGGAGAGCTTCCAGACTGTCATCATCGTTGGTGAGACGGGATGTGGGAAGACAACACAGTTACCTCAGGTTGGTGTGGTTTCATACATGCAACATTCTGCTGCTATTTATTATGTGCTACTACTACTAAAATATTATTTATATTCATTATCATTTCTGCTATTATTAGTGCCACTGCTGCTACTCTCATTGTATGCATCATTTATGTCATATAGACTAAATTGTAATTGTATCATGTTGTTCATTCTGTACACTCATTCTGGTTTCTTTCTTCTTTTTTGTACCCTGTTAAATTTTGTAAATAATAAAGGAAGATTACTTTTACAGAAGGATGGCCTTTGTATCAGAGCAGGCTAGTTACAGATGAGCATAGTAGTGCTAATAGTACATCACAGCTTTAAAAGGCAATACAAATACAAGAGGGTGAAGTACCGTCAGAGTGACGTGAATGTAAGCGTTGCTGCAGTGGACTGATGCCCTTCATGTGGCTTCACCTCCACAGAGGTTTTACATGACCTTGCATTGATGCTTAGTAGACTCTTTTTTTTTTTTTTTTTTTTTTTTTTTTTTGCAGAGTTCGCTTTATACAAATTCTGCTCTTCTGCAACATCAGAGTCTCTGTCTCACTCTCCTTTTTAAAAAAAAATCTGCCTCCTTTCAGTACCTGCTGGAGGCGGGCTGGGCGACAGAGGGGAAGGTTATTGGAGTGACACAGCCTCGACGTGTGGCCGCTATCTCCGTAAGACCTCCGCCAATGTCCTGCAGGAAATTACATTTCACACTGAAGGACAGCTGACGCATTCTTTACTTTTCCTGCCGTTAGGTAGCTAACCGTGTAGCGGAGGAGCGGGGGGCCCTGGTGGGACACGAGGTGGGCTACACCATCCGGTTTGACGACTGCTCCGATCCCCACGCCACGAGGATCAAGGTAACCCCCAACACACACACAGATGGTTAAAGTCTTCGCCTCAGGCTGTCCCGTGTTTGGTTCCTCTTTCAGTACTTGATTGTGCCTCGTGTGCTTCAGTTCCTCACAGATGGCATGCTGGTGCGGGAGATGATGGCCGATCCTCTTTTGAAGAAATACAGGTACGTGATTGTAATGTCGGGGGTTTTATATACATGTTGATGATGTTTTGAGTTGTCATAGCACAAAGAGCACAGGTGTGATTGATGATGGTAACGATGGTTCTGTTCTATAGTCATAGAAATAGAAGAGTAGAATGTTCATGTTTCTCTATTGTGCTGTTCTCCTCAGTGTGTTGATGCTGGATGAAGCACACGAGAGAACCCTGTATACAGACATAGCCATTGGTCTACTAAAGAAGGTATTTCAAGAATTAAACTTTACTATTTCACTCCAATTTATACTTTTCAAATGAATCCTGGAAAGTCGGTGACTTCTCTTCAGTTTTAAACCCTGACTCTGACTTCTCCGTTCCCACCGTTCTCCTTCTTCTTCTTCTACAGATTCAGAAAAAGCGGCGAGACCTGAGGCTGATTGTGGCCTCCGCCACTCTGGATGCCAAGGTGAGAGCGTCATTAAGATGAACAGATACGCTTGATCAGCCGGAGCAGAGAAAACAAAGACAGACAGACAGACAGAGGAGGAAAGAAAAGAAAAGTTGATGCCAGGTCAGATCTCGTTGTACTGACATCTGCAATACTCTGATGAAAGGAAAGACACAATCAGGCCACGACTGCACTCAGCATTAAACAAGTCAGCTGAACTGCCATATCTGACATCTACAGTACTCTCTGTTTAAATATCTACACACGCATATTATTTAGTTATACCGCGGCACTAAGTTGCATACTTTTCTTTTAATAAGATGTCAGATTGAAAGCAGCAAAAGTACTTAATTGCTGCAAAACATTGGGAAAATACCATAATCCAGAAATGCCTCATGAGTGTTCCCTTTACTAACTGCATTATCACCTTCACCTGAAGAAATTCCACGACTTCTTCAACCTGAACGAGTCCGGGGATCCCAACAAGGACACGTGTGGGATTCTGACGGTGGAGGGACGCACCTTTCCAGTGGACGTCTTCTACACTGTCAGGTAGTCGGCACACATAATCCCGTCTACGGTGCGTCATTCCGTATAATTCTTTTGTGTGACCGTGACGTGAGGTTCTGTTCGCCCTCAGTCCCGTCCCAGACTACGTGAAGGCCACAGTGGAGACGGTGCTGAAGATCCACGAGACGGAGGAGGACGGAGATGTGTTGGCTTTTCTCACCGGGCAGGTTAGTGGGCATCTCAAATATTACTCAAATAGATATTTAAAGAGTAACTAAACCCCCAAAACCAATTTTCTTCAGCTGAAAACCAATATATATGTGTATTTAATAGTGTTGTTGATGGATTCAGGTTCTAATCTTGACATTTGTCAAGTGCAAAGTATTTGAATTCTACATATTATAAACATGCATAGCGTCTGCCCCGCTACTGGTTGAAATGTGGCTGTTGCAATTTAATTTCTGCTATTAGCTGATCTGGAGGCAGGTGACATATTTGGAGCCAACAACACATAGCTAGCACTATTGCTAATCGCTAGCATACATATATTCCAGCCTTGGACGTAAACTCAAAATCACACATTTTTTACTGTATTTTTGGCACCACAACAGACCGTTTGCAGAACTTACCTAACTGAATTATAGTCAGCATGCTTGTGTTTAGCATTAGTGATTAGCATTAGCATGAGCTAATTGAAAGGGTAACGGCCATCATGAACGGTTGGTTAAAACAGTTAAGTGAAGCTATATGTTAAGGTAACGTAGACCAAGCTCAGCAGTTCATGTGGTTCATTTTATGTTCTATAACTGTAGCATTAAAGCACAGTGGAATTAGCAGGCGAGCTAACGAGTAAAATTTAGCCAATTGATGCCTCGTCCGCACAGACTTGTCACAGTGCAGGAAAGCACATGGCTATCTCTAGACAAGCAGTCATCAACACTGATTCACCAGATGTCGTAATGTGCTGATGGCTTCATTTAAACTGTACATTTAAATTTTTACGTTCTAGAGACATTTTTTATTTATTTCAACGGTAGAGGCATTTCACACAAAACTCTTTAATGATTTAACTTACTCTAGATTGTATATAATTACAGCGGTTAGTTCTTATCATTGTCCCTTTATTTACTTTTCCCCTCAGGAAGAAGTGGAGAAAGTGGTTTCCCTTCTGCAGGAGCAGGCCAGGTCTCTGTCACGTTACGGCATGAAGAAACACCTGAGAATCCTGCCCATGTACTCCGGTCTACCATTCGCCGAGCAGATGAAGGTGTTTGAGAGGACGCCCTCAGCCGTTCGCAAGGCAAGTTTGTTTTCGTTTCTTCCGTAGAGAGAAGAAATCTGATTTAATTTGCATTTCCATTATTTGGCATTTTCCATTATTTGGCATCCAATCAATGCCAAAAAGCATCGGGCTAATCAGACGGATTTGCGATTTAATTTCACTTCTTTCATTCCATTTAAATTGCTGAGATGTTGGCGGCAGTTCAAAAGTCTGTAACCGGCTGAAAATAACTAGAATAAGATAATTAGTTGACATGAACATTGATGATCATAATAATAATAATAATAATAATCTTTATTTATAAAGCACATTTCATAGTTCAAAGGGCTGTACATTTAAAAAAACAAATACAAACTTTTACAGAGCATGCATTTTGCACATACATTTTAAGTGTAATTAATAAATGAAGCTAGAAAACATTTGAAATTACAAATAAATACACAAATAAATATGTGTAGCGATATAAGTGTTTAAATATGTTATATATATATATATATATATATATATATATCACAACACACAATATTTGTTGCACATCTCAAGAAGCCCATCTATATTTTGTGCTATATTTTAAAACAGCAGAGATTCTAATGAATAGATCACAAAATTATGTAAAATCATGACTTTCATATATGTCCTCTTATTGCAGCTCTATCAACCATATGTGAAGTGAAGACTTCATTCTTATAGAGCGACTACGTGTAGTTACACAAACAGTACAAGTGTCGACATAAGAGACTATGAAATGGTAAAATAGTGTAATTTAAAAGCGGTTCACTTATTCCTGTCGTGTGTTTCCTCCAGGTTGTGGTGGCCACTAACATAGCTGAGACCTCCATCACTATAAACGGAGTTGTATTCGTCATCGACTGTGCATTTGTGAAGCTGCGAGCGTACAACCCGCGCACTGCCATCGAGTCGCTGGTGGTCACGCCTATCTCCAAGGCTTCAGCCAGCCAGAGGGCCGGGAGAGCCGGACGAAACCGGCCTGGGAAATGCTTCAGACTTTACACAGGTGTGTGTGTGTGTGTGTGTGTGTGTCTCTGTGAGTTTTGTAGAAGTGTTGTAGAATATCGAAGGATTTGTGCATTGTTAGCATTTGTGGCAAAGTGTCTGTTTTTATGCCTCCGCGACAGTCATGCCCAGAGGCGTTATGTTGTTGGGTTGTCTGTCTGTCCGTCCTGTCCGTTCTTGTGAATGTGATATCCTCCAAACACCTTAAAGGCGTGTCTTCAAATGTACCTGGACTAAGAGATGAATCTGGCGGCAATCTCCAGGTCTGAAAAGTGAAGCCAAAGCTTCATGTGTTAAAGCTGCA